CTTGGAGCCACCAGCAAAATTTTTAACTAATATTCCCCTATATATAACGAAAAACCACCTTAGCCCAAAATATTGTACCATATTACAGGGGGCTTCAGTGAATCCCCTATTCTTTACTGGGATCTAATTGTGAAGAGTAAACCCTCTAGTATGAGCCACAACTCAGCAGAAGTTCATACAAGTATTCCTACTAAGCATCTTCCAGTGAAATGCTAAATCATAAGCCGGTATGGACCCTTAGCTCAACAGGGATATTCACAGTTGGGGGTCTTTCTATAAACACTTGGCCAAGAAAGAGCCTGTGAACATCTTTAGGTGTCTGGCCCGCCCCTCAGGGCCATACCATCATGCCTCTTTCCCTAGTGAGGAGGTTCTTAGTGGTGGGGAGAAAATCCTTTGACATTGTTTTAGAAGGGGAAGTATGTGATATTCTAAGAATCACTGAGAATCGATCTAAAAGTAGATTCTCTATATAATTGTTTGATGAGGAAGTCAAATGTTGTCTGTAGTTTGAAAAGATATATTTAATACCTTATCGAAATGTTAAGAAACTTTATTTCGCAACACAATTATACAATGCTTCTAAAGCAAATTAATGAACTTTCATATTCCTAAACTATATCTGTATTGCATAGCAGCAGCAATGTTTAAATCATAAATCACTCCACATGCAAATCAGATACCACAGCAACAATTTCTGCTATATCCTTTTCATCCATATTTCTAGTGTTCGAAGTTTCCTTTTTCATCTTCTCTCCATACAAACCTTTTGAGAAATTCCCACACTCTAGAAATCTACTTTAGCAGTTGATCATCATGGTGTCCTGCAAACTTCAACTAAACTCTTCAATTTGCAGATGTTTCTTTGTTCTTAGGTGAATGGTTCTGTAATGTAAGTAATCCTTCAATAAACATACCAACCAAGAGTTAATTTTTTGAATTATTCCTCCGACTGGAAATGAGTTTTCTCTCTTAAGGAAAAGATTAAATGATATAAACAAGAAACTAAGAGCACCCTAGATACAGAATAGGAACTTATAGCTTGTCAAAAGTTAAAAAGTCCTTAATCATAATTAATGAGAAACCAATGAGTTAAAAACGAAGGGCCCAATACCAAAGCTCCCTAAGCCTATCAAAGGAAAAAACTATATTTTGAAAACTTTTCTTTTCCCCTATTTCCAAATAATCACAAAGTAGCTAAGGGATGAGAGAGATAAGCTTTTTCTTCTGTTATCACCCAAATCCCTACATGGCTAGATCTCATCAGCAACCAACCCATCAGCCACCCAACTCGAGCCAAGAAACTCAAGTGTCCTAGTCCAAAGATGAAAAGAAAAAGGTCACCACAACTCTTACAAAAAGAGCAACCAGTAACCAAAATATTTCTCCTCTACCTAAAATTGTCAACAATCAATTCTCCCTTTCCCAGCCTCCCAAACAAAGAAAGGAACTCTAACCTCTAGAGGTCGCATTCAACTTCCACATTAGCTTCTAAGGAAAAGCATTTTGAATAGATGGGGTGGGAAACATGCATGTAAAAAGATTTCACTAAAAACGAACTACTGACACCTAATGTGCACATGGGAACATCGATTCCATTAGGCCAATCATTGCAGCGGGACATTAGATGGAGAAGTCTAACCTATTAGCTTTCCTCCCAATCATTAAGATTTTGTTAGGAGCTTCAGATATGAACCCCGCTGAGAACTTGTAAGTCACAGCGAGAGAGAGAGACAGAGAGAGAGATAAGGAGTTTTAGAAGCGAGTAGGAACGGGAGGAAAAGAAAGATTTTAGGGTTAGGATGAGAGAAAAGAAGGGAGAGAAGAAGATGAGAGGAGAGAATTTAGAAAGGATTCCAAGACTATTTGTTAATTCAGAAAAGTCGAAGGCAAATTTTCTTGTATGCCCAATACATGGCTGCATTCCCTTAAATTCTACCTTAGTACAGCAACACAGAAAATCCAACAAACTATAACAGAGGAAATTCTAATAGTGCTACCAGCAGCGGTGAAAGTGTCAGCTGTAATAACAGAAATTATTCCATTTCTACATAACAATTCTGCTATGCCCACTCAGCTCAACAAATATTTTTCTTCTCTTTTCGATAATAAACCCAAAGTGCCTTGCCACCTTCCTCAGCAGTCTTTTGACCATTTTGACCTGAGTCTTTTAGGGTCTTAATAACTCTTTCCCCTTCAGAGATTTCCTTGCCCCAAGGAAAAATTCTGGAAACCGCTTTTTCAGAAAACTCAAATGTTCCCAGGTAGTTTCCTCAGGTTCCAAGTTAGCCCATTGCACCATAACTTGCTCAATTGCCTGTCCATCATTCTGGATTGTTCTCTTCTGCAAAATTCTAGGTGGTTCAATTTTTGGAGTCCCCATGTCCAACACTGGTAATTTCATCATATTGAACATTGCTTCGAGGAAAAAATTTCTTCAAAGGGGAACATGAAACACAGAATGTATTCTTTGATTTTCGGACTCGGGTATTACAAGCAAGATCAGGTAATTTTCGTTTGTATGAGCTGGTCCTATATTCTGTATAATTTCAAAGGGCCCCAAAAACTTTGCCGTGAGTTTCTTCTTCTGATTCGCCAAAGACAATTGTTGTTAGGCTTGAAGTTTGAGGAGAACCATCTCCTACTCTTCAAATTCTCTCCATGTTCTTCCCTAATCTGCAATTTGCTTCATTCTTGCTTGGGCATCCAGTAGCTGCTGACTAAAGAGCAGGTCATCTCTAGTATTTTTACCAAAAATTCTTTCAGTTGGGATGAGGGAGTGTCAATTTTTATGGTGTCCATGAAACAGGGAGGTGGAAAACTATAGAGAGCTTGAAAGGGGTTTATTCCCAAACTGGAATGATAGGTGGAATTCTAGACATTGATTCAGAGATGATAAGCAATTAATTGGAGATGATAAGCAAAATTCAAATAGAGTGTAGTGCACAATCCACATAAACTCCTGTCAAATCAAGCTTGTGAATATCTTCTCTGTCAGTGGCAAGAATTTTGGGTGTCCCATGTAGCTTGTCAATGTTATCAATGAATGCTTTTAGCTACCATACAAGCTGAGAAAGGATGTTTAAGGGCAATGAAATGCCCATACTTTTTGAATCATTATCGCCAACATGACATCTTTATTTTCTGATCTAGGTAACTGCTCTATGAAGTCCATGGAAGCATGAGTCCAGGATTAGTGCAGCACAGGTAGAGGCTGCAGAAACACATCACATTCTTTAATTAGCTTGGCTACCCCTTGTTTGACATTAGGCCAGTAAAAATGTTACTTAACTCTCTCATAGGTGCATCTAACCACAGCGTGGCCACCCACTACTGAGCTCTAGCATTCTTGAAGTATTCTATGCCTAAGATCAGCTTGATCTCCAGCATAGATTCTTCATTTATATCTTAAAATTCTCTGTTTACGTTGGTAGGGAGATGGGATTCTGGTGCTATCATCAACTCCTCTGGTAACCGAGAGGCTCCTTTGTCTCCCTTGAAACTAGTCGTCACTTCAGTTAACAAACAGGAGTAACCTGTGTGGCTACTGCCTTCAGTTCTGCAGTCTCTTGGCTGATGTCTGTTTTTTTCCAGTTTCTGCTCTACCCAATCCTTGCGACATAAGGCATTGACCACCTTATATACTGCCTTTAGTTCTGCAGTCCCTGTATCTTCCGCCTCCTCTGCTTCCGTTTCTTCTTCCTTTTCCTATGGTTCCTCTTCACATCCTTCCAAGGCTAAAATAGCCCTATACATGCATTGGTGACCTGGGAAGAATCTTTCTTTTTTGAGTAGCAAACCTGGGAAGAATCTTTCTCTACATCTGAAGCAAGAGTTGAAAGGCTTTTTTGTAGTCATTTATATTGGCGTTTTGGTGATAGTAGCATTCAGTAGTATGTTTGGCTTTTTGGTGGTTGCTTCTGCTGCAGGGTAGGTTATGATGAGCTTGTTTTGGTTGAGATAAGGGGCAGTGGGTTGAGGGTTGTTGTTGTTTTTGAAGGGTTGTTGGTGGAAAATTCTAGGTAATTTTTCTGGTGTCGAGACCTTATTTCCACAGATTGTGCTTGAAGTAAGGTCGGTTCAAAAGCTTGGTTTAAATTTCTGAGTTTAAGGAGTTTGAACGAGTTTGAATTCATCATCCAGTCCACTGATAAAGCTGAAAATGAAATATTTCTCGCTAAGGGTGAGTGTCTCCCTCAACATCAGTGACATAGCTCTGTAAAGTGCTCCTGGTATTCTAAAACAGTCCCTTCTTAAGTGAGTTGATTAAGCTCTTCAATGACATCAATATGGGCTATTTCCCCAAGCCTTCTGCAAAGCTCTTCAACAAACTATTCCCAACACTGAAATTGATTCTGCCTTGCCATCCTTGATACAAGACATCAGCCCTTTCCCAGAGTGGCTAGCTCAACACTCTACTCTTCAGGAACCCCATGCACCTGGAAGTATTTCAGGCACCTCCTAGTCCATGACCGTCGGTTTAAACCCTCAAAAGAAGGGTATTTCTACCCTCGGAATGCACTGTTTAAATTATTCCGATGGGACTCCGGACCATTAGTTGGTCCTTCCTGCTCCTTTGTCCTTGGAATAGGTAAACTACCCTTGTGAGGCTGACTAGGTAAAGTCTCCAAACCGAGTTTGCCAATATTTAGATGCATTGATGATCAAAGCTTTAGATGTCAAGGAGTCATCAGAATCGGAGGGCTCTAATACCAGATTGTTATGAGCTTTAGATTATGAAACCCACTAAGAACTTGTTAGTGAGTGAGAGAGAGCAATAAGGAGTTTTAGAAGTGAGTAGGATTCTAGTTTAGGATGAGAGAAAAGAAGGGAGAGAAGAAGATGAGAGGAGAGAATTTAGAAAGGATTCTAAGACTGCTTGTTAATTCAGAAAAGTAATAGGCACATTTTCTTGTATACCTGTTACATGGCTGCAGTCTCTTAAATTCTACCTTAGTATGGGAACACAAGAAAATCCAACCAACCATAACAAAAAAGAAATCCTAATAGTATAACCAGCAGCTTTAAATGTGTCAGCTGTAATAACATAAATTATTCCATTTCTAAGTACTCAAATTCTGGTACGCCCACTCAGCTAGCAGATATTTTTGTTCTTTTTTCGATAATAAACCTGGAGTGCCTTGCCACCTTCCTCACAGTCCTTTTACCATTTTGACCCAATTCTTTTAGGGTCGTAACAGATTTCTAACAGAGTCCACCTCCAATACAACATGACTGATTGAAACAAACTAGAGATCACTTACCAGTGCCTTCTTGCTTCTGGCCAAAGAGGACACCAAAGGAAAATGCTAGTCCAAGGCCTCTATCACCAAATTAGTTGTGTCTTCCAAACTTGAACCCCCTCCCCAAACATAACCCTCATCCGCATGTAGCCAGTACTAAAATAATTCATGACCATAAATTCCCGACTTTTAAATCATAAACTTGATCCATGGTAGAAAATTGTCAAACAATATTTGCTGTGTTATATTCATACTCAAATAATTCATTACCATAAAAAGATCATATAATCAATATAACAATGCGCTGAGAACACAGAGGCCAGCACAATACCTCGTCTTCTTTGCATTTCTTTTGTTCTGCCTTGAGAGCATTGGTATCATCATCTTTTGATTCTGGAACAAGTTGCCAGCCAAGACCTAGAACATATGTGATATGGGGGGCAGTGAGAATGAACACTATTTACCCTTCCAACACAGGTTCATACCATCAATCTTCCAATTTCTTCCCGATATGGGATTATTCCATTTCATATTTCTTTTCTTATTTTAGTTAAGAATCTACATACATGCATCACCTATGTCTGGTCTTCCTTACATTCTTTAACCAGGCTGCAATATGTCCTAATGGGTAATCAAGGAAACCAATTTGAGCAAGAACAGGCACCGAATCAGAATGCAGTAATGGACAATTACTAATTGACAGTTTTTAAAGTGAGAAATAACATAAAAAGACAACTTCTAAAACAACAGAAGACTTATGATATCTAATCAACAATTTAAATCTCGTGCAGAAAAAATGCTGGCGAATAATCATAATTATCTTACAGCACGTTCTACAGTAAGAAAAAGAACGGAAAACGATAAGCAAACGAACACATTGCGGGACGAACTTATCTGGAACATGACACCGACCAACATGATAGAAGTGTATAACGTCTTTTAAAGTGCATTAGCAGGTGAAAGTTCGCACATTGCATTAAGATTAGCATAAACAAGGAAAATAAACAAAATCAAGTAGTACATGAAAACGAAAATGTAGAAAAGCAGACAAACGTGCAAGCGTTTGAACAGAAAAAAGAAACTAGACGCAACGTTAGAAATCGAAAGCAGTGATGGAAAACGAAAAAACAAAGGAAACAGAAGCAATAACGGATCTGAGGACACAAAATTCACGAGAATTTTCTTATTTCCGAAAAGAATAAGGACGAGGGACAGAAAGCAAAATCGAGAGAGAAGCAAAGTACCTGCAAATAATGAGGGAGGAATCTAGGGTTTTAACGGGGAGAAAATAGGCCGAAACAGAAAAGGAACCGAGAATCCCAAGGGAAGGGGGAAGGAGAAGAAGGGAAGAAAAGAAAGAGAAAGTTCGTTGCTGTAACTTGTTGCTTCTTGGTCTTTGGTTTTTGGTTCACGTTTTACAGCTGAACGATGACGAGACCTCGGGGAGGGAGGCTCACGAACTCTAGAGACGCGTTTGGGTTGACGAGAAAAAGATGAGTTGGTTCTGAGCAGCAGGAAAAAGTACAAGGTCGCCGAGCCCGGCCTCGCTGTAACTAGCTTACTATTGGCGCGTGGTAGTAACTACCATGTTTTGCCGCGTGCGAACAGTTCGTCGTATCTCGCCGATTAATTTATTTGTACTTTCTTTTTTTCATATATATTTTTGGTCAGTGATTTATAAAAATATTCATAATTAAATTAAAATCCATGTCATCGAGCATTAGATAGCGTATGTTGGGGTGTATACGTTTTACGAACCTTTTTCGGGTCATAGTGGGGAGATGATGGATTTTGAACCGTCCGATTTGAGCTTTTTATTTTATTTCTTTTACTGCTCCAAGATATTTTATTTTTATATTAGTTTTTTTTTTTTTTTGTATGTATGCTGCCAATTTACTATAATTTAATCAAAAAAATTTCCAGTTCAATCGAGAGTAATTTTTATTATTTTCATTTTTGAGTCCGATAAAAATAATTTTAATTTATAAAGTGTGAGATTAAGATGACTGCACGTTAATTACATCTTTTTAACTCTACAGATATTTCTATAAAAATATATTTGATATCAAAAATAAAATGATATTTTTAAATTAATTATTTTAATAATTTCTATAAATTTATCCTTTTTTTATACTTGATATAACAACCATAATTATTTTAAGCACAATTATATAGAATAAAATTTTAATTTTTAATATTATGTCGAGCCTGAACAAACAGTGGTGACAATAAATATTGTTAATGAATTAAATTATCTAATTGAAGTCCTTGGAATATATTTTTAAAAAATGACCATTGACTAGGTTTATAATTTAATTAATTTATTATACAATACAATCTGAAAATGAAATAATAAAGAATTTAGGACCTAAGATTCATTAAAATATATATATATATATAATATAATGCACTATAAACGTGTCAGCGGAATCTTCAAAATAAAAAGGAAGCAGTCAACCAAAGTTGCCATGTCAAACATGAACTTTGCGTACTTTGGTATTTCCATTCAACCCAAACAGTAATTAAAAACAAAAAAGATTTATCGGGCGCCTTTTACACGAAGTAAATATACCTAACCGTCTACTAGCCGTTGGTCATGATGGGGTTATAGAATATTATTTACATGTTTAGATATAAAAAAATTTAGTTATTTTTTATATTTTTCTACTTGTACACTATATAAATATGCTTTGTTTAATTTTTATTTAATCTTTTTAATTTTAATTCATACGTCAGTCATGTAATTATATAGATTAATAAAAATATTAAATAAATTAAAAAAAATTATTAATTAAAATGTACTGAAATATCACCACATTATGTCTTCTTCCTCGAAGTTTCATTGCATCAACATATCACACTTCTTTTTCTACAAAGTTTTGTTGTTAATTGAGAAATGTTTCATGCGAATATAAAACAAAAACATGATAAAATATTTACTTACAATAATACGTGAATATCAACATGGGTAAATGTTAGATCAATATGATAGGTTGGATTTTAAAGTTTAAAAAAAATATATATATATATATCCAAATGAACCTAAAAGTTTCTAAACCTAAACGGAAAAACAAAAAATAAATTAAAATTTAATATAACATAATATATAAAATATTAAAATATATAGTATTAATATATTTTTAGTACATATATGTTTATATATGATTATTATGTGACTACCCGCAATCCTTTTTTTAATATTTAAAAAGAACCACGGTCGTTGGGTACCATTTAATTCAAAAAATTAGTCATTCACAATATATGAAAATATAAAATTAAATAATTATTTATCTCTTGTATTATTGTAATATTAAATTACAATACATTAAGCAACAAAAATTTACAGAGTTAAAAAAAAAACTAAATTTGATTTACTTGAAATAAAATAAAATATGAAAATCTTGATTTAGGCATTAAAAAACTATCCTCCATAACTTTATATAGAAAATATAAGAATTTGAACGAAGTGAGCAAAATAATGTGTAAGTACATCTAATAGATTATACTCTAGGCATACAATATACAACATACAATCAATCACATACGTAAAATTTTTTCTTATTCTTTTAAGAAGATCATAAATTTAATTCCTAACTGTAATCTATCATTCTAGTTGTAAGTTTTGTGAGAGTTTTATTTGACAATTGTTGTAATTCTATAATCCATATTATTCTTATCTAGCTATCAATTGTCGTTCATAATCACAAACACAATGTCTAATATAACAAATACTATTTTGGGATCTGTATTTCTACTACTTCATTGGGTAAGCATACAACAAATCATGCAATAATTTGTCACAGTAGTTTGTCGTTAGATGATTTATTTTGTATATTTATTTACGTTTTTCAATTATTACTAGGTCATTTATATTCTCAAAAATTTGTAATACTTCTTTATACCTCTTATCCAATTCGTACTTTATTCTAACATTTTACCTCATTTTTATTTCCAAATAGATTTCCTCATTGGCTCATCAATGTTATGATTGATAAATTGAAAATTTTTATTTTAAATTTGTTTTATTTAATTTATCGTTTGTTGTTTTATTATTTGATTATTTAAGTTGGTTTTAAGTCTTATTTATTTGGAACGTAATTTTACTTCATTTGTTATTTGCATTTATTTAGTGATTATATTTTGATATTTTATTTCCAACTCTTAAACCTATTTACATCGTAACATAATTTTCTTCATCATTCCCCTGTTCATTCCTTCTATTTTATCTCATTCTTATCACCTTAAAATGTTAATTCTCACTCATTGATTCCTACTTATTTTGATCAATTCAATACTTTCAATTCACAAATTTTATTTTTTAAATTTTTTAGTTAATGTTTTAATTAGTTTAGTTTTAGAATTTTATTTCTTTATTTATATTCAAATCATTTCCTAATTATTTTATGTTTCTTTTTTTTACCGATCTTATCTTATTAATCACGCATTTATTCAAACATAAAAAATTTTGTATGCAACCTATAAACCACTCTAAATCATTTAAACTCATTCTCGTCACTTAAATCATCACATAATTCACTCTCATTACTTTCGTCATCACATTCATCATCATTTTCACGATCAATCAATACAGCACATGCATAATTCCATCACGCATCACACATCATGTCCACATTTTACAAATTTTCACTTATCTTAATTTAATTATTAATTACCGTTTCATGATTTCTCAATTTTATTCAAAACTCCTTTAAACTTTTGATTTTAAAAGCATTTGTGGCTTCGGATTAGCTATTATATATACTTACCACTTTTTCGGATGACTAAGGTTCACTTTACATTAATTTATGTCATTTCCAATCCATTTTGCCTACATGAAACTATACCCTATTATTAGATAAATTTTAAAACCATAACTTAAATCTAAATTTACTAAACTATCTATTTAATTTTCTAAGTCTAATTACTTAATTTTTTTTATCCAAAATTAATTCTAAATCTAACTTAATTGAATTGACACAAAGGTCTCGAGTTTTCGGATTTATCTTGAACCAGTTCAGAATTTTCAAAAGAAATGCTTCCGGATTCGTCGTACGAAGTAGTTGGATAAGATGAAACCTACAAACATAAACCAAACCGGTCAGGGGCTGGTCAAACCAATCAAACTGAAAATGAAAAAAAATGAAAACTTACCTCAATGACGATAAAAAGGGGCATGAGTTGCAGCCTCTAGGTTTCCTCCCCACTATCGTGCACCAACTCACTGCCAAGTCGTGCACCCCCAATGCGACCGGTCACCTAAACCACCCACACAGTCACCCCCATGCGACAATGGAACGCCACACCTGTCAAGAGCTTGCAGATCTCGCGATTTTGGCCCCGGGTGCCTGTGGGTACCACCGCGGGCACTTGCATTCTCTCC